CAACACGCTGTGGTGCGTCAGCTAACCCGCGAGGTCGGGGGCGACGCGTCGTACGAGACGGCCATGAAGCAGGTATGGAGCGGTTTGATGGGTGGCCAAAGGGGTGGAGGGATTCGAACTCCATGCGTTTCCAGGTACCCTAGCTGCCCTATTCCCATATTTCTCCAAGTGTATAGACGGACCTACCCCTTAGCCAACCCCGTAACAACCTCGTGCCTAACACGCCACTGCCGCTTCCATCCTCCAAATGCCATACACGGCACAGGCATCCCTGAGGAACCAGCGTGTCCTCACCAAGACCCACAAGAAGATGGAAGCGGGGGACACACGGGATCCTGTCTTCCGCAATTACATGAGGACCGCGGGGGTGCTGGCGATGCACGAACTGGAGGAGCGCCTTCGCCTCGCCAAGATTAAGACGCGGACAATCTTTGTACGTTAACTAGACCCTGAGGCATGGGTTTGGGGATTGGGATGGAACGTGAGGGCGGGGCAGGGAGTGGCAGGGTGACTGGGCACCTTATGGCAGGGAGGAGATGGCCGTGAGTGGGAGGGAGTGGTATGGCTTGGAAGGTCAAGGGACGGAATGGACAGTGATGGGAGGGAATGTATGGGCATGGCATGGAATGGGAGGGTATGGACAGGGACGGGAGGGAATGGATTGGGAAGGCATGGAATGGGAGGGTATGGACAGCGATGGGAGGGAATGGATGGGGATGGCATGGAATGGGAGGGTATGAACAGCGATGGGAGGGAATGGACGGGGATCGCATGGCCTGGGAGGGTATCCCAGGGATGGGAGGGAATGGATGGGGATGGCATGGAATGGGAGACTGCATTGACTACTTGGCTACCTCAGCTCTTAGGGTCCCATTTAATAAATGGGCATGGCATGGAATGGGAGGGTATGGACAGAGATGGGAGGGAATGGGAGGCCATGGACGGGGATGGGAGGAAATAGGAGGGAATGCACGGGGATGGGGGGGAATTGGAGGGAACGGGGTAGGAAGGAATCACTGAGAATGGGAGTGGGAGTGGGAGGGAAAGGGCCGCGAACAGCAAGCTCTCGCAGGATTTGGAGAGAGAGTCAGGGAATAGCAAGGAATGAGTCAAGTGGGACGGGGAGGGGGCCTTGGGAGCGGTACCAGTGGGATTGGTGGGGTTTGGCCAGTGAATGGCATGGAATGGCAGCAATTTGGTGGGACCGGGCTCTCTTTTTTCCACACCCTAAACCCTACCGTGGCCCCTCTGTCCACGTCTCCCCTCTATCCCCTCCTGAGCTCAATCCGTCTAATCATACAATATGACTATCATGTGCCATGGTACCATGCCTCCTTGCCAAGCGCTGCCCTCCCATCTACGATAATTCAAGGCACACTCGTGCCCCCTCTCTACACCCACCCGCCTTCCCTGAACTCCCCCCATTGCCCCCTACCCTAAACCCAGGTCCACACAGCCATGGCCATCCCCCCCCATGACAGCATGGAGTGGACCTCAAAGGGCCAGTTCGTGAAGGCGAGCCCTCACGAGCGCCTCTTCTCTGACGTCTCGATCAGGCCTGGCGGCGGCGTGGGGGAGCCGTGGTATGGTCGTGTCCTGGTGCTTTTCCATTACCAGGATGGGGAGGTGGAGAAGCGCGGGGCGTTCATCCAGTACTACACCGAGGCGCAGAAGCCTTGCCCCATCACCGGGTGCAAGCGCCTGACGCCAACCTTGGGCATCGACAACTATGCCGTTGTGGACGTGGACAGCATCCTGAGCCTTGCACATGTGGTTCCGTGCTGCACGGACCCGAAGTACCGGCTCGTTAACCGGTTTCTTTTCTGAACCACCGGTTGCGCTCTTATTTATGCATGACTTTGTTTAAATTGACCTTGTCTTAGAGGTTGACAATTGAGTGACTCGTACTGAGCATGATACTTTTAGTTTGCAGCGACAACCATTCACAGTGCTCGCAGCAGGTGATGACCCCACTAATAATATAGCAACAAACCCTATCATTTTTATTTCCCACACATGATATATTCCATACATAAACAATTACGTTCGAACATAACAAAAAAAACACAGGAGTGTACTACGATTGGACAGACGCTTATCGCTTTGAAATCATAGGGTTTAGAAATCGTAGCTTTTGCAAAACATACATTTTACATTTACACCCTGCCAAATGCTACGCGAACGTTCTGCGAATGGTATTTGAATGTTCTGCAGATAGTCGGCATCCTCGCTCCACCTCGAATGGTTTTTAGATTGCCACTTTTTTGCGATGTGTTCGTTACGCATATCCGAAATTCAGTTCGTCAAGCGAGGAAAGAAGCGACTGGGGAAAGAGAAACCGAGAGCGCGTTTGAGGCGTGAGAAAGAGCAAGCGTCGGGACGATCCTGAACGGCGATCGACGGCAGTGATGGGGAGATTAGAAAAGCGAAACCATTGTCTCTGACTGACCTGGACGGCGAGCGTGGCGAGGATGCTCTGCGCGTGGATGAGGCTGGGGTTGCCCAGGTAGTTGAGCCCGCCCTCGCTGAAGATCTGCGCGCCCGCCTTGAACCACACTGCCTCGCCCAGCGGCACGCCGTTGCGCGCCAGAAGCTCGGGGAACACGATGCCAAGCGCGCCGAGCAGCGCCCAGCGCGAGTGAATCACCTCCAGCTCGCGGTTCTTCGCGAACGTCTCGGGGTCCGCCGACAGGCCCGCCGTGTCCCACCCGTAGTCGCCGGGGAACTCGCCTTTCAGGTACGCGGGAGGCGAGGAGAAGGGGCCCAGGAACAGGCTGCGATCGGGCCCGTACCACTGGCTCAGGCTGTCCGCGGCCTTCACGGTCTTGCGCATCGTCACGCGGCTCTCCACGTTGTTCACCTTCGCCGCGAGCTCGGCGCTCGACGCGAAGAAGGCGGAAGCGGCGGAAGCCGCGGTGGCGGAGGAAAGAGCAGCCATGATGGCGGGAGCTTGGGGATCAAGCTGAGATAAAGCGGGATGTCGGCTGGTGGGAGTGGGAGAGCTGGGGGATGACTGGTTCGATGGTTTAGAAGATCAGTGGGAGTTATTTATGTTCGAAAATTTGAGATTCGAATTCTACGGACATCGAGGCGCGGGGTTGTTGCGAAGGCGACAATGGGTAGATGCGAAGTTTCTGTGGCGAGGCTGTTTGCGAAATCTGTTGGGCATTCGGATGCACGCCAGGTCAGCCTATTGGGATACAGAATGCGAAATGTCGGATTGGGGAATACTTCGAACTGGGTCGCGTGTGTGTGGATCCAGCGAATTGGGTCAAGTGGGTTCAGCTTTGTCCAGGTTGACAATCTGCTGCCTTACAAGCTTCCTCGGATGGAAACGCTAATTAGCTGCTGGGTGAATCAAATATTGGGGTGCTTATGTTGCTACTCTGTTGTACTACTCATGTTACTGGTAAGCAGCCGTAGGACATAGTGGAAGGCTGATCTGGGGTCCAGAATTCTTAGTGGACCTAAATTAGTGACCTCGTTAAATTGGTGGATGAGGCGAGGTTAGTGACAGAGTTGGATGGGTTCAGATCGGTTGTGTTAGATTTCTCCTGTTTTGCCACCGAACTGAAACCTAATGGCGTGGTGCAGCCATTTCGAACGGGTCCAGACTAAATTCGCGAATGTCGTTAACCCGTCGTGAATTCAAAACCGGCTGGATTCGCGAAGCAGGTCCGCACTGTCCTTCCGACTACTGTTTCGCACGGAACGGCTGCACTACGCCGTAACGAGTCTGCCTTCCATTCCGTCACTTCCGCTTTGTCGTCAAAAGACTGTTCGCTCGCCACCTCGCCGCTGTTTAGTTATTACTTGACTGCTTGGTAGCGAAGTAGTCACCGTGGGTGTTGGTAAAGGCCTGAGAGATTAGACACTTCGGCGCATGTCTAGTGCATCGTGGCAAGAAATTAGACGAGACTCTAGAAGCACGACGCGTCCCCAGGGTAGGTCGGGCAGGAATAGTCGCGACTGGCAGCTGTTATTATGATTGCAAAATATAAACAAAGGAAATCGCATGCGAAAACCGTTAACGTTAGCCAGGCGAAGAACGAGGGGGTCGGACGGATGGAAAATGTTGGTGGTTCTTCCATCTGAGCAAGGTAATGACTACCATGCGGATCTGCATACATTTTTATGGAAGGAATAGCTTAGACCGAACGCAATACGATTTAGGGTAGTCGTGGATTTTAAGAGCGTGCTCTAGCGACTGAGATTGTCTCTGCCAAATATGCTGCTGCCTCCCCCGTCAGTGGCTCCCTCCCCTCCACGTCAAACCCCACCATTCCTCAGACTGCCATCTTCATCATCTTCATCCTTGGCTCTCCCCCCCTAACCATCCTCCCGCTGAGCCGTCCTCCCTTCAGCAACCACCACCACCCCTGCTACTACAACCCTTCCGACCTTGTCCCCCCTCTTCCTACCTTGTCCCCCCTCTTCCGACCTTGTCCCCCCTCTTCCTACCTTGTCCCCCCTCTTCCGACCTTGTCCCCCCTCTTCCTACCTTGTCCCCCCTCTTCCGACCTTGTCCCCCCTCTTCCTACCTTGTCCCCCCTCTTCCTACCTTGTCCCCCCTCTTTGGTAAGCAAGCATCCCTTCACACCATCCCTCCCCCACCCCCCCCCCCCCCTGCCCCTTCCCCCCTTCCCCCTTTCCCCCATTACTTTTCACTCAAGTAACTAATTATCTTAGACAGCCCGCAACCCGATCTAGGCATGTGATCAAATAGCAAGAACCGGTAGCTAGCTATAATCATCGGTACCTGATACATACTTCCCTCTGAGTGCATGCAAACACAATGCTTTGCTTCCCTGCCCCTTTCCCCTGCCCCCTTTCCCCCATTACTTTTCACCCAAGTAACTAATTATCTTAGATAGCCCCCAGCCCGATCTTGGTCTGTGATCTAAGAGCACCAACCGGTTGCTAGCTATGATCATCGGTACCTGATACATACTTCCCTCTGAGTGCATGCATACACAATGCTTTGCTTCCAGACGTACAGGAGGCTGAGAAATTGGGCGCGTGAGCGCTTCTTGCTCGAGAAGCTCCTACGTCCATGTTATGACAAAAACGACTAGTATAATGAGATTTACATGCACCAGTTAGCAGGTAATGGGGCTGCTTGTACCAGTGCTTGGGCAATGGTGACCGCTTCTCGCCCCATGAGAGAAAAACTGAACTCAAACCAACTCTACAACCCCTCCCCATCGAGGTATAGTTTCCAGCTCAACACTAGTAAGAAACACGGCGCCGGCACAGCTCCCTTCCACCTACTGCTGCTTCTGCTGGCGGGCGATCTTAGCCAGGGCGCGCTTGCGAATGTCCACATTCTGGCCCAACCGGATGGTGTTGAAAAGGTTCTCTGGGAAGCGGTAGATGATCCCCCACATGACCCCGTGCGCCCAGTAGGGCGTGCACCGGACCTCCTGCCCGACCCAGTTGGCGCCGTGCTTTGCATACACATCGGAAGAGGGGCAGGTGAGGGACGCATGGCGGATCTTGGACATCTTGGTGGCCACGAAGAGAGGCGCCTGCAGGTAAGGGGAGGGATAACGGAGAGACTAAGGAGAGGCGCGCGAGCAGAAGGGGTGGCCAGTGAGAATGGCGAATGGGGCATGGCGCACCTCCTGCCCCACCCGGTTGGCCTCATGCCTGCCGCACACGTTCCAGACGAGGGGCAGGTGAGGGAGGCATGACGGATGTAAGGCACCTTGGTAGTGCCGAAGTGGGGGGCCTGCACGGGAGCAATTTAAGGCAGGGAGATTGACCAGCGAAGAGCCGAACCGCGCACGGTGAATCTCAGTCATCTTGGTGGCATGGGATTATGGACATAGGAGTTGATCGCCGAATTCGGAGGGAAATATGCGTCGAATAGGTGGAGAATGTGGAAAGCAGATCTAGTCAGCGCACGGGGGGTTGAAGGAGGCTGAGATGAGGGGAATGAACGACAAGGGGCAGAGGGACAAAATATGCAGTGCATGTGGTCCACAAGATGATGAGATGTGCGTGATGCGGCACAACACCGAATTGGGGGGGAGGAGGGTTGGAGAGAGGAAGGGGGGGGGAAGGGGAGGGACATGTACATTGAGACACAGAACACAGAATCCGGGGACATGCCACACAGTGCTTCCAGAACGAATTGTGGTGTGAAGCACTGTGCACCCCAGTCTGACTGCTCGGGTCAAAGAAGTTTCACTCTAGGTGCCGCTCATGCGATCGCTAATGCGAGAGGGATCAGAAAACCGCCGGTGTGTGCAATCACAGCGGACCAGCTTTCCCTGCTGCTAGCAGCCTGATCGGACAGGCTGCAGCAGGCAAGGCCAGAGGCCCTTGTCAGATTTAGAACAATGTTGTCGTCATCTCCCTCTATCAGTCACGGAAACATTCATAGTGCTCGAGCACCGATACAGCCAGCGACGAATTGTCCAGAGATGGCTAAAGGTGCATCGGAATAACCAAAGGTGAATCGGAATAACCAAAGGTGAATCGGAATAACCAAAGATAAATCGGAACAACCAAAGATGGCACCCAGGTGACGCGGCCATGACATGACAGCGGCAGGCGCAGCTATACATGGATGTCCATGCTGCGAGTACCCAGGGTGTTCCTGAGAATTCTCAAAAACACCCCCTGCTGCACATACATGGATGTCCATGCAGCGAGTACGCACAGCACGAATTGCGGGATGGTTGTTTTCCACATTGAAGCTAGGACCAGAACTGGTGTGGATCATTCACCCGTTACCTGTCCGCGTACCGCGGCTCACTTAGGGAGCTGTTTACCTAGGGAGCTGTTCACCTAGGGAGCTGTTCACCTAGGGAGCTGTTCACCTAGGGAGCTGTTCACCTAGGGAGCTGTTCACCTAGGGAGCTGTTCACCTAGGGAGCTGTTCACCTAGGGAGCTGTTCACCTAGGGAGCTGTTCACCTAGGGAGCTGTTAACCTAGAGAGCTGTGCTTCCGTCATTCCTCCGTTACCTGTGCGGGTACCGTGGCTCAACTGCACTTGGATTCATTCTTCAGTTAATGGAATTTAGGCAGCTGTACTCCTGGACTCATGATAGAATATTCTCCATTTGATGCAGTGTGGCGCAGCTCACCTGGACCTGGACGTCAATGCCCTTGGATGCATACTCCATGTTGATGCTGCGGGAGAACTGGTCGACGAACCTGCTCGCCCAACGGAAAGGGAAAAAACACGAGAGAATGGGTTCACGGGATAGAAGGAAGTGTGACGGGATAGAAGAAAATGCGAAGAGGGGTTACCCTTGCCCTTTATTTGGGTCTAAAGACGCTCTATCTTACGCCTTTCCGCTCACAGTCAGCGGGGAATAAAGACGGAAGAAACGACTTAAATTTCATCGTAGTGACACTTACGCCTTTGTGCCGGCGTAGACGGAGTAGAGCGGGTCCGACGGAATGACGGTAATGAGCGGATAAGTACCTATGTTTCATGGCTGTGACACTTACGCCTTGGTTCCAGCATAGACGGAGTAGAGCGGATCCGACGGAATGACGGTCGCCACACCCGATCCGATGTTAACAATGGCTCCTCGCCTCCTCTTGATCATATTCGGAATCACGATCTTGCACAGCCGAACCATGGGCTCGATATTGATGTTGATCAGATCCGATATAAGCTTGTCGTCGACTTCGTGTAGGTACTGAGCGTGCGGATACGACATTCCGGCGTTGTTCACGAGAATGCCAACTTCCAACTCGTCGACGAGCTTGCGAACTTGATCGTACGCCGACGCCAGAGCTGGACCAGGATTCGTGAAATCCGCGACGACGATTCGCGTGTCGATCTTGTATTTCGCCGACAGCTCGCTCGCGACGGCCTCGAGCTTCTCCTGGGTCCTGCTGACGAGAATCACGTTGATCTTCCGTTTCGCGAGCTCTTTCGCGAAACCCTTACCGATGCCGTCGGTGCATCCGGTAACAATCGCCCAGGAGCCGTAACGACGGAGGTTCTTCGCTGGGCGAAGGAAAAGGATCCAGATTCCGGTGAGAAATGAGAGCAATCCCGAGAAGAGCCATAGTAGGCCAATCAACGCGAGGCCAATCACAAGCAGCTCGGAAGGCTGCTTGCTTTTCAGAATCGTCAAAACCGCGTCCATGGCGCCTGACGAAAATACCTCGTGAAGAGAAACAGAGTAGCAAACTCTGAAAAATCTATAATTTACGATCTGATAAGCTTGGGAGAAATTAGACAGGTGGAATCAGGGCACTCGGTCCACAGGTGATGGACTCCAGCTCAAGCTCTGTTCGTTCAGTGATATCAAGTATGGTTCTTCACGATTTGAAACGATATAGACAGATTCTAAAACGGTTAAGGTGCATGAAGAGAACCACATCTTGAACGGAAAGCTTTTTTGGTTGAAGACTGGAGAGCATGATTGGGTGGATGGAAGTGAGCAGCAGCTCAACAGGATGATCGGGATCTGGAGGAAATGAACGGTCGATAGAGCAAGTAGATGGCGGGAAACATGGATAGAGGAACCCGAAGCGAGGAGCACGCTGACGTGGACGTCATACACACAATGAGCCGCGATGTCAGAAGAACCACTTCGCAAATATCAGCTTACTACAGAACATGAATGAGTTGATTGTATTATTATTCTATATTAAATATGCATATTTCCAGTGGCGTAGCTTTGCTACAACCAGGGTCCTTGCTAGGATTTAGGGGCGCCTGATCTTCAGACCTGTTCGGCTGAGAAAAGCCCTTAGGATCTTTCAGAGACTAAGTCCCAGTTGTACAAGATACTTGAGTAGTGCAGCGGAAGTTTGAGTAGTTGAACCCTTGCACTAGTATGTGAGAGCAAGTGATTAATTGAAAGGAACAAGCATACAGCAATATATAGAAAATAGGAAAAGTAAAGCAGTTGTAGAATACAGTTGAAGGAATGGTTATCGAGTCGCACAGCGACTCGATGGTCGATTCGGTTACCACCCTTGCAGTTGTAACGGTCAGTCGCAACCTCCGGTTGCGACCCTTCGAGTCTTTCGTCCTTTCGTGTTCTTTCGTCCAACCTCCTCATGTAACCTCGTTGACTCGCATACTCGATACGGCTTCACTCGAGCGTGATGTTACACTTCAGAAACGCTCAAGTCCTTGAGGGATTTCCAACAAGACCAACTTTTGTGCATCCGTCTGACCATCAGACAAAAATTTGGCTCTAGTCTAAGACTTCAGACGAAATTTTCAGGGCTGTCTGACTATTCAGACGAAGCTTACAGGCCTGTCTGATTTGTTCGAATATTAGCCTAGCATACGCATCCTTGGACATAATTCCTACAGCTTTCAAAATAACTGAAATAACCTAACACTCTAGGCCATAAATTCAAGTCAGAAATCAATCTACCATTAAATATATAACCCAACGACACTACATGACAGCATCTACTCACTTCACTAGCCAGTAGCATTTCAATGGCATGTCATTGACTGTCGGTCGAGCATAGAATCATGCTGACACAGAACTTCAGTCATCTTCACTGTCACTTGCATAGGGGTTGTCCTGCTCCTCTTCACTCTCAGAATCCAGGTCAATCGCAGTAGCCTTGGCTCTTGCCTTCCTCCTCTAGTAGGCGACTCCAGGGTCCTCCTCAGCTGCCGTTTCTGCTTTGGCCATTGCTGCAGCTTGCCATGCTGCTGACTCTGCTGCTACTGCTGCTCTCTTGGCTGCTCTTTCTGCCTCTGACATCTTCCTCTTCTGCGGGCGTGCCGCTTGCGCAATGACAACCTCCTTTGCCGGCCACCGCTTCTTCACTGCCCGCCACCTCTCCACCGTTGAGTCCCACTCCATGTCGTAATCGAGGAGAGAAATGGACAGAAGATCCGACAGCTTCGCGTCGCACAGGTTCCCGCGGAGCCAGCTCTTTATTACATTATGCCAAATGAAACCCCGCTTGCACTCGATAGTGCTCAGAGGAAGCACCGCCACAGCGATCCACAGATTCACCAAGTTCGGGTAGGCCGTCTGTCAGTCAGGGGATCGTAGCATGCTCTTCAGGCCGTCGAGAAAGCCGTATTCCTTGCAATGTGTTGACATGATAGTCGTAAACTCAGTCAGTTCCTTCTGAGCCTTTGTCTAGTTGATGCCTGGAATAAGGGTGGGGCAGGCGAAGGACACGGAGGGGAAATCATGGAGTGAGCACAATTGAGAGATAAGTGCAATTGCATAGTCAATACATGTGCGAATCAATGGGTTTTAGCAGTGAGGACCGAGGAATGGAGAAACTAGGTGCGGAACAAAACAGCTTGATGCACTTGAGGGTTCACCAGGCAGGGTATCGGGAGAAGAGGGTTCACGCTAGTACAGGTTGCGTAAACCTGTCAGCCACAGTGGAAATCGTCGCTCCCGCTTCTGGATGGTCCGTGGATACGCTCCTTGCCAGAAGAGCTTGCTGCAGTTGAGGGTTTCGAGATCTGCTAAGCGGGAATCAATGCTATCCAACAGCCCGAGCACGAACGCAGTTGCCATGGTCATCAGCGAATTCATGTCCCCGCCACTGATCTGTCCAGGGAGAGCCTTCTCGTGCAGTGTGTAGGTGTGGATGAGCCTGGTGCCATCGCCGTCTACGCCCTCGACCGTCACCTCGCGATTATGTGGTGATGAGTGCTTCTTGATGAACTCCACTAGGGTCGTGTTGCCATGACCGAAGGCCTCGCCATAGTTGACGTAGCGGCTGCACAGAGTTAGCTTGGTGTTGTCCACCATTTGGCAGACGTGGGTGATGTCGACCTGAAGGAAAAGCAAAGAGATGTTAGAAATGAGTCATTTATAAAGCCGCACATCCGCCAGCAGTAGCATTTACCTGGCGGCGCTGAAACTTCAGGTTGAGCAGGTTGAGCTCGTTGAGGACATCGGCAAGGAAGTAGAGTAGGAAATGGAATTTCAAGCTAATTACCATGGTGTACGCCTACCGGTCATGCTCCGACAGGAGTATGATGGCGGCAGGGAATACCTTGACTAGCCTCTGGATGGCCTCACCTCAGGATAACCAACTGATGTTGTGGATTCCCTGCATCTCCAGGTTCTTCTCTGAGACGACATCATGGAGCTGCTTGAAACGTGAATGGAAGACAATAGACCTATCGAGGACCTCTGCAAGTGACTTCACGACCTTGTCAACAATGGCAAGGCCGGGAAAGTCGGCTGCCGCATCCTTGGCAGCAAGAGCTTCCCTGCACACAAGGTAAGCATGTGCGTAGTCAGAAGGGGGTGACTGTATTGGAAGATGTACATCATGCTTCTAATTTGGTGCCTCAAAACACTGCTCTTACTTGTGTGCGACACATTCGCAAGAGACTAGGTGTGGGATGCGGGACCGCAGCCGTGCCACTAGCCCGGTCGACGCGCCCGTCATGACGCTCGTGCCGTCCGTGCTGATGCCGCAGATCTTCTGGAAGTCCACGCCAGTTGCCTCGAGATGCGTGAGGAGGATAGGTTGCAGCGAAGCCACGTCGCATTTGTCCACTATGAGGTGCGCATAAAACTCGGTGACGACCTCCTTGTCCCATAGGAAAGTCAAGTAGACGATGAGATGCTTCCCCCGCCGCCTTTCTGTACTCTCATCAAGCTGAATGCCAAGGTACGGGCTTGCCAGGATGTGCTTCAACTGCTTTGCGCGCAAGTAGGCCACCATGGTTTCGACCAGCTGGGCGAAACCGTACCTGCAAAGTTAAACAGACAAGTCAGTCGTGTATTTTGAAGCTTAAAAAAGACAGCCAAGCCGGACAATAACATAAGTCAGGGTGAGAGGGTGTCATTCGACTACACTCACTCTGAATAATAAGTGACGTTCTCCTTCAGGGGCATGTCCGGAGTCCCGTGCTCTGCCATGAACTGAACCAACGAAACAAACAGGGCGATGGGGGCGTCAGATTTGCAAATGAAGTGTACAATGGCAAAGAGCCTCTTCAAATGTCGTGCGTCCTCATCCCCGTTCTCAAATTCCACAATACTCCTCTGTTTCTTCATCTTGCCATCCCAATGCGCCTTTGCTGCCATCGCTGCCTCATGCTTGATGCTGTGATCGTGCTTCCGCATGGTCTGCTTCTGAATGTCGATGCCGCCCTCCCCACAGTGCCCATACTGGTACGTTGGCTCTCCGTGCGCGATGCAGACGGTGCACTTCATGCACGGACGACCTTCCTTCGTCTCCGAGATGAAGAGCCAGGGGAAGTGACGTTACCACTGCTCACTGCACTTCAGTTGCAGCTTCTCCAGTGTCAGCGGCCATGGATCGTCGTCCACAATGTCGCCCGGTGAATCAGGCGTCGACAGTCCAGCATCTGACGTGAGCGCGGCAGGTGGAGTAGTTGGCGTGGAGGTGGGTGATCGCGGCCTCCCGAATGTCAGCTTGCGCTGCTTGTACTTCGTCTTCCCAAGGTACCTGGTGGGTAAGACAGGGCCAGCATAGAAGAGAGGGGCCGGTGCACCAGCAGTCGACGTGCTAGCGAAGCGAGGAGAGGACGGGGGGAGCTGGCTGCGGACCCACTCTTCAATGTCTAATTCTAGCAGCAAGCCGTCGAAGCGCGGGGTGCTGGGTATAGCCTCGGAGGATGGACTCGAAAGAGCCACGGCAGGCTGAGATGCAATTAGGGGCGAAGCAGGCAGCACGGTAGGAGGTGAAGCAACGGGAGGGGGATTAGGAGGCGCAGCAGTAGGCGCCACAGCAGCAGTCGAGGGACTATGTGGAGTCATGGTAGACGGCGACGATGCGGGCGATGGACTAGGAGGCGCTACCGCGGGTGGCGCTGCAGCGGGCGCCACTCTAGGAGTCGTCATGGTCGGTGGAATGACCGACGGCGCCAAACTAGCGGGCTCCGGGCAGGAAGGAACCGCAGACAGCGCAGGGGAAGCAGCAAACAGGCTACACGTTCTGCGGCCTAGAAGATCCAGCGCCGAGATCGACGGAGCAGCAGGCGAGGGCTGTCGCGAAGAACTAGGTATGGCTGCTGGGGGGCTGAACCCAGCAGCGTCTGTCGTCATGGGGCCTGTCTCACGATAGCGCAAGCCAGAAACAGCCGGGGAGGCGCAAAAACTACACGCTTAGAGTCGTGCAGCTAGCCATAGGGAGCTGTTGCTGCTCGTGCTATGCATGAACACTTGAAATGAGGAATGATGGGTTAGGCGGGCAAACTGGGGGGACTTTCATCTCCCTCCAAGCGCCTTCGTGCGCCTCGACGCATGGTGTGGGATGCAGCCCACGGTGCATCACTCATGTCCTTGCATCTTTGCCTGCCGAGGACGAAATGTGCTGGCGCAATGCTGCCAGGATCATTTTGCTCAATGCTGTCACAGGCGCCGACCAGGCCTCAGGATATCAGGGTAAAATACCCTTACGGCCCTTATAATAAGGGTGGGGTAGCTGTTGGACCCTTATTTTTAAAAGTGGTTTAGTTTTTGACCCTTATGAAAAAAACTAGATCTATACGGGACCCTGTTTTTTCAAAGTGGTCGAGTGTAGGGACCCTGATGCGGAAAAGTGTTGTGTAAAATCACCCTTACACAATCACACATGCGATCCCCCCCTGAAATATTTTATCCCCTTGGCAACCTGTAGATTTCGGCTAAGTCCCCCCAATCCGAGAGTCATTCCTCCTATACCCCCCGCAACCCAAGATTTCGGCTAAGTCCCCCACTGCCTAAGGCATTCCTCCCACAGCCCTCGAGCGACCCCGAAAAATTGGTGAAGTCCCCCACTCGCAGAGACAAAGCCGCTGTAGTACCTTCGCAACCCGGAGGATTCGGCTAAGTCCCCCAGTTCCAAGTGTGTTCCAGTCAGACTCGGGGGAATAACTACTTTGAAATTACAGGGTAGCCTGAAACGAAAACAAAGCCCTGGACGTGATATGTCAAATTTTCTCTTCCCCCCTACCCACTTCGGCGAGGGAATCTCGGCGACTTGAATTGAAGTTTCCACGGGTTTTTACCTGGCCCCTGCCCGCGCACGACGGGGATTCAAGTCGTCAATTTCTTCTGCTAATGGTTTACGTTTTTTTTGCTGCCACTCACCCAAGAATTCATGCGCACGGTTACAAAACTTGCCGACTTGAATGTATAATTCGTGTTGGTAGAGTCGTATCGGCCACTACATTAGCTAAAGAAATGAAAGAACAAAAAAAAAACAAAAAACAAAAAAAAAAACAAAAAAAAAAAACAAAAAACGAGTGCGGCACCAACGGGAAATGAGGTCGCGACCAGGAAGGGTCTAGGGAATGAGGTCGTATTTCTACAAGACAGTAATCACTACCAGCAAACCCGGAATGGACTCTGAAACGCGAAACGGTGAGGTCCGAGGGTCAAAACGCGAATTCCTGTTCGGTTCGATTTGGTACTTCGCGAAGTTTGGTTCTCTGGTACTGAAAGCACTAATGTAGAAATACGCACTAACAGCAAAATTACCGAGGTGCGACATTCCCCCCACTTCAGCGCTAACAAACAAAAACAAAAATCTTGGTGCACCCTGTCGAGTGCCACCCAAGGCACGTCGTCACAAATCTGCAACACGTCAGTCGTCTGATCACGCGAGATCCTGTACCTACAGTAAAGTGTAAGGCTGCGCTGGAGTTATACCCTTATGTGAAAAAGTACAAATATTTAGGACCCTTATATTACAAAGTAGCTTTTAAATATACCCTTACAGAAAAAGTGGCAGCAAGCGAGTACCCTTACAAGAAAGAGTACTTCTAATCCTATCCAGAGGCCTGGCGCCGACAATACGTTAAGGGACAACGCCCTGGCGTAATACCGCCACACTGAGTCCTGCGCTGTGCCTGGCTGGAGTGCCGACACCCTGCTAAGAGACAACGGCGTGGCAGCTTCTGAGTCAGAGGACAGCTAGGGGCCTTAGGTTTCCGACAGCGTGGATGCGACAACACGCGATGACATAATTACGCATGGCACGGGGAAGGACCGAATCTGGCAGACAAGCTGCCTTGTGGCCTAGTGGGCACATTTGTTTGTTTCAGACGAAAATGTACTACTCGTTGTCTGAAAACTCAGACGAAACATTACACGCAGTCTGATTTTTCAGACGAAGTAAAAACGTTTGTCTTAACATTCAGACGGAATTAATAAAGTGGTCTTGAAAATCAGATGAACTAAAAAATCAAGTCTGGTTATCAGACGATCAGACCGAATTCGTCTGCTGTCAGGGGCCCTGGCTACAACAATTGCAAGCACACTACGACATGAATATTTGTGCGTACATGAGATGGCCCTTAACCAGTAACCACTAGTAGGGCTCTTCCTCATCATCATCCACATCCACAAACCCATCTCCATCCCTCCCCTCTTCATCACTACTGCCCCCTTCCTCCGCTTCCCCTCCACCTCTACTTGCCCCCACCCTACCCATCCCCTCCTCCGCATCCCTCTCCTCTTCCTCCCCTTCGTCCTCTTCACCATGCATTTCCCCACCCACGCCACCCTCATCCTCTCCCAACTCCTCCCCGTGAGCCTCTTCCCCGTGCTCCTCCTCTTCTCTCTCCCCTCCCTCCCTCTCTTCCCGTTCCTCCTCCTCTCCCTCCTCCCCCATATGTCCTCCTTCCTCCTCCCTTCCCACCTCCTTATCGTGATCCCCTGTCTCTGCATCTACCTCTTCACCTCCTCCCCCCTCATCCGCTTTCCTTCTCTTTCCCCCACCTCCAGCTTCCTCGTCAAAATCGTCCGTCTCAACCTCCTTTCTCTTCACCCCTCTTCCTCTTCCCCTCCCTCTTCCTCCCCCTCTTCCCCGTCCTCTCCCCACTCCTCTTCCCCCTCCTCTCCCGGCCCCTCTCCCCACTCCTCTCCCCATTCCTCTACCCCGTCCTCTCCCCCCTGTTCCCACGCCCCTCCCACCTCCCCTCCCTCGCCCCCTCTTCCTCCTCGCCCCCCGCCCCTAACTCCCACCTTCCCTCCTCTCTTCCTCTTACCCCCCAAGCCTTCCATATCACCTCCTTCCTCCTCTCCCTCCCTCCCCTCCCTCCCCCCCTCCCCTCCTTCCCCCTCATCCCCCTCCTCCGCATCCTCCTCATGCTCCATCACTTCCAGCTGTGCTCGATCCGACGGCCAGAAACGAGCAACCAACAGCAAGGACTCAACCAGCCGATCCAGCGGCCAGGAACGGTCCAGATATGCATGCGGGCGTCGCGGGATATTTGTCGGGCCAGGGTAGCCCCAAAGAGGGTATAGACGGAAGGAGCAAGAGGGCGGACAAAAGGAAGGAAGAGAGAGCAGCCGGAAGGGATAGCAGGGTGCAAAGAAAGGGAAGACAGAACGGACAAGGGAACGAAGGATGCGGGATGGCAGGAAAGCAGGAGAAAAGTGGGGAGAGAAGCAAGCCATTTTTGGTCAAGGAAACAACAAAGAGATTTACAAAATTACGCTTTCAACGAAAGGATGTGGGAGGGACTATAGAGATCAAGTACGTTGCTTTAAGCACCTATGAACTTAAGCTGAGTAAGAGGAGGTATGCAGAGAAAATAGGGCTCTCAGAGGGTAAGGGAGTGAGTGAGGGAGAAGCTGAGACGAAAAGCGAGTGAGGGGTGTAAGAGATGGGGGGAGTGAGAGCGTGTGGAGGGGGATATCCACATCTTTGGCTGCTCCTCCCGCCATGATGCCTCTGAGCTCCGTCTCCACCTCCTCCACTATCTCCGGCTGGCAGTAAGACACGTGTTAGGAAATAGAGAAAGGCGATACAAGACAGGGCGAGGGGAGAGTCGTGAGAAAAAGAGGGAGTGATATAGGAAGAGCAAGGAAAAGGTAGAGGAAAGGGAGAGTGTGCGGAAGGGGATATCCACATCTTTGGCCACTCCTCCCGCCATGATGCCTCTCAGCTCCGTCTCCACCTCCTCCACTATCTCCGGCTCGCAGAAAAAAAACAGGGAGAGCAGGGTTAAGGAAGACGTGCGGGACTGGGAAAGGGGGGAGGGTGTGATGAGTGCAGCGAGAGCGTGATGCTCCTTAGCTCCAACTCCACCTCCTCCACTATCTCCGGCTGGCAGAAAAAAAGGAGAGGGAGGTGGGAAGGTTAAGGAAGAAGCGTCGGAATGGGAAGGGGGGTGCGCCATGAGAGCAGAAAGAGCATGGTGCTCGCTGTTCTGTCTCCACCTCCTCCACTATCTCCCGCTACACGCAGTCAAAGAACAGAGGGAGAAAGATAGAGGAGCAAGGGAAAGGGGGAGGAAGAGGGGTTTGTGCGATGCATGCCGTGCCCCTTAGCTCCGTCTCCACCACCTCCTCCACTATAACCGGCTGCAAGAAGCAAAACAATAAGGCGGAGAGAGATACGAAGAGCGAGTGAAAGGTAGAGGAAGTGAGAGAGAGTGCGGAGGGGATATCCACATCTTCGGCCGCTCCTCCCGCCATGATGCTCCTTAGCTGTGTCTCCATTCTCATGTGAATCTTCTTCTCACATCCCCCATAGGAGGGGTGAGACCGTTGCGACTCAATCCAGAATATGTGTATGTGTAATCATTTTCTATGAAGTGTACCATCATATTACAACAGTACTCTCACTAGGTTCCCTTCTGATTAGTCGTCTCCTCACGTCCCCCATGGGAGGGGGGTGAGACCGTTGCGACTCAATACAGTCATGATCGATATAAGCATGAGTCATAACTAAATATGAATGAAGTGTACTTACATTGAGGTCGGGCTCTCGTCTGAAGCGCCTTCTCCTCACGTCCCGCATGGGAGGGGTTAAACCGTTTCGGCTTTCTGGTCCCTCTATCGGCCGCTCTGCTTCTGATGGCTCCCGAACCACTATCATCTGGTACAGTCACATTCCGTTTAGTCACATTCCATAGAGGCACAATCAGTACATACATACACGTTCAATCAATACGAGGGGTGAACTTGTCGTGACTCTCCGGTCCCTCAGTAGGCCCCTCTGCATCTGATGGCTTCTGAACTACTCGCATCCGGCATTGCCACTGGCGGGAGACGTCACATAGAATAGTGCGACAATCTCTAGAGTCATATTCAAGAACAGGTGGGAAAGTACTAGAGATAAGGGATGCATATGGGCGCCGATCGTTTCGCATGATGCTCTGCTTGCCCCACATCCCACCTGCCCCACATCCCACCTGCCCCACATCGCACCTGCCCCAAATCCCACCTGCCCCACATCCCACCTGCCCCACATCCACCACATTGTCACACTCTTTAACAAGTGAGTGGTGATGATCCGACTCTACCACATCCTTCTCTCGTTCTTCCTATGCTCTCTCACCCGCCCCACGTCACCTGACTTGAGCCTTCACCAGTGAGTTGTCATCATACGTCTTATCATGATTCCCACCGGCCCCTCAGCTTACCTGCCCCCCTCCCCACCTGCCTCACCCCCCCCACCTGCCCTACCTCCCCACCTGCCCCACCTCCCCACCTGCCCTACCTCCCCACCTGCACCACCTCCCCACCTGCCCCACCTCCCCACATGCTCAACGTATGCCACCTTAACCAATGAGTTGTCATCGTAAGTCTATGCACAAGTTGGGTAGACACCCTCCCCCCACCCCTTCCCCATTCTACCTTCCCCACGTCCCACTTTCCCCACATCCCACTTGCCCCACGTCCGCCGTTTTAACCAGCAAGTTATCATCGTAGGTCTTCCACGACTCCACCACTGCTGGCAGGTCCAGTGGCTCGCATACCCATCTACCCCAAATACCTACCCCAGCCTCACCTGGCCCACGTCCGCAGTTTTAACTAGCGAGTTATCATCATAGGTCTTCCACGACTCCACCACAGCAGGCAGGTCCAGCAGATTCGCGGAGAAGGCCTCTCCGCCCATCACGAACGACCCGGTGCGGCCATCGGCTGGTGGGAGAGGGGGGGGGAGTAAGGGGGTAGAGGGAAACGCGGGGGGGGGGTGGGTAGGCAGGTCCAGCAGGCTCGCAGCAAAGGCCTCTCCGCCTATCACGAACGACTCGGTGCGGCCATGGGCTGGTGGGGGGAGAGACAGGAGGGGAAGAGAGAGAAACGAGGGGGGAGGTCTCTTCACGAGCGCAAACAGGTGCAGCTGGCTCGCAGCAAAGGCCTCTCAGAAGAACAGCTTCAATGTGGCATCCCCTGGAGCGGGGGGTCTTCCCTCAACACTCTGTCCATCCGCGCTGCTAGCGAAGGTGGTAACCATAACATAAATAGTCCAATTTGGTAACCGTTTCCACTAGAATTGATGAAATCCAATTTGACCAAACACCCACCTTGGAAGAACAGCTCCAATGCCGCATCATCAGCAGCGGTGGGGTCTTCCCGCAACACTCTGCCCATCCGCGCTGCTAGCGATGGTGCTTCCATACTCATTCCTAAGTCGCACTCCGATCAACATATCAAACCCTCACCTTGGAAGAACAGCTCCAATGCGGCATCCCCAGCAGCGGCGGGGTCTTCCCTCAACACTCTGTCCATCCGCGCTGCTAGCGAAGGTGGTAACCGTAACACGAAATGCTCCTCCATGAAACTTAACCAGTTGATCAATTGATCTCGATTTGATCCTTAAAAATGGCAGTAGCCGTAAGCCCACTCGTCCCCGCTTCGCTTCCCCGCAACACCCTCTCCGCCTCTCCGCCTCCCCGCCTCCCCGCCTCTCCGCCTCTCCGCCTCCCCGCCTCTACCTCCCACGACAGTCTTCGCAAACTAGGGTTTCGAGTCGCGCAGGAAACACTTGGAGTCAGTCGAGAAAACTTCCACGTCAGCTGAAAGGCATCGACGGAACCATCTCCGTGCTGTTTCGATCAACTCGGATCAACCACGCGACTGAAAACGACAAGTAAAAAAAAAGCGGTTTAATAACACAAATGAGAGTTTCGAGTGGACTAACACTTGAAGCGTGTCGCATGCTCTGAGGGTCGCGACGCGACGTACTACGGACGGGCTCTGGAGAAGGTGAGAGGTAGATACGCTTAGAGCGATTGTACATTGAAAATAATGGGCTGACTAGCTACTCGCATAACAGTTGCGACGCGATGACAGTTCCGCGCGACGGCGTGCGACGACTGCTCCATGTAATAGTCGTTGAGCTTCGCGCGGTTCTGCTGCCTGTTTCCGTCAAAACCGCTGCTTGCTGGAGTGAAGGGGGAGCTAGAGCTCCAGAAAATAGTCTCATTTATCCTCGGCATGAGCTATCGGACGCGATAGATTCCATCGGCCTTATTTGGAAATAGCACCTTACGAAGCTGAAGAATGAATGAAAATCAAATAGATCTTGACACATTTGCACCACATTCTTGCAATACGTATCATGCTAGTATTACAACCACGTCGCCATCATGTCATCATGCCGATTCATGTAAATCTACAAGTAATCACCCTGACATGACTACGTATAGCTGGCTCATTGTACTCTCGAGGGATTGCACTGCATGTTAGCAATTAGCTTGTACCCTGGAGTAAAATTGTACCAATACACTATCAACATCATCATCACCCTGACATGACAGCATCTTGCTCGTTAAACAAAAACTGCTCTCCATACTCTACAAGAAACTGCGTCGATCTTTTCACATCCGCAAAAAGGGTATACACCCGACTCACATCCTCAACCTCCACCACCACCCCCCTCCTCCCCCTGCCGTTTTCCGCCTCCTTGTGGCCGCCAGGTGGGCCGATGTAATAAGATGGATGGAGTAGCGGAGGGATGTTTCTACGCCGATCTTGGATAGGAGGTCCAGGGCGTCCGGAGATGCATCCACAGCTTCCTCCAAACAGCGGATCTTGATGATCTCCTTAATCTCCTCTTCCTTGTATGGCTGGAGACAGGGTAGGCAAGGCAGGAGGGGAGGGGAAGGAAAGGGGAAGAGGGGGGGAGAGGGGAAGGGGGGGATGGGAGGGAAGGGGGGTGGAGGGGTAATAAGGTGGATGGAGTAGCGGAGGGATGGTTCTACTCCGATTTTAGACAAGAGGTCAAGGGCGTCACGGGACGTATCCACAGCTTCCTCCAGGCACCGGATCTTGATGATCTCCTCTTCCTTGTATGGCTGGAGGAAGGGGCAGTGGAGGAAGGAGGGGAGGGAGGCGAAGGGGTTAGCTGTGGCAATGCGGTGGGTGAGGTACCTATGGCTTCCTCCAGGCACCGGATCTTGATGATCTCCTTGATCTCCTCCTCCTTGTATGGCTGGAGGAAGGGGCAGTGGAGGAAGGAGGGGAGGGAGGCGAAGGGGATAGCTGTGGCAATGCGGTGGGTGAGGTACCTATGGCTTCCTCCAGGCACCGGATCTTGATGATCTCCTTGATCTCCTCCTCCTTGTATGGCTGGAGGAAGGGGCAGTGGAGGAAGGAGGGGAGGGAGGCGAAGGGGTTAGCTGTGGCAATGCGGTGGGTGAGGTACCTATGGCTTCCTCCAGGATCTTGATGATCTCCTTGATCTCCTCCTCCTTGTATGGCTGGAGGAAGGGGCAGTGGAGGAAGGAGGGGAGGGAGGCGAAGGGGTTAGCTGTGGCAATGGGGTGGGTGAGGTACCTATGGCTTCCTCCAGGCACCGGATCTTGATGATCTCCTTGATATCCTCCTCCTTGTATGGCTGGAGGAAGGGGCAGTGGAGGAAGGAGGGGAGGGAGGCGAAGGGGTTAGCTGTGGCAATGCGGTGGGTGAGGTACCTATGGCTTCCTCCAGGCACCGGATCTTGATGATCTCCTTGATCTCCTCCTCCTTGTATGGCTGGAGGAAGGGGCAGTGGAGGAAGGAGGGGAGGGAGGCGAAGGGGATAGCTGTGGCAATGCGGTGGGTGAGGTACCTATGGCTTCCTCCAGGCACCGGATCTTGATGATCTCCTTGATCTCCTCCTCCTTGTATGGCTGGAGGAAGGGGCAGTGGAGGAAGGAGGGGAGGGAGGCGAAGGGGTTAGCTGTGGCAATGCGGTGGGTGAGGTACCTATGGCTTCCTCCAGGATCTTGATGATCTCCTTGATCTCCTCCTCCTTGTATGGCTGGAGGAAGGGGCAGTGGAGGAAGGAGGGGAGGGAGGCGAAGGGGTTAGCTGTGGCAATGCGGTGGGTGAGGTACCTATGGCTTCCTCCAGGCACCGGATCTTGATGATCTCCTTGATATCCTCCTCCTTGTATGGCTGGAGGAAGGGGCAGTGGAGGAAGGAGGGGAGGGAGGCGAAGGGGTTAGCTGTGGCAATGCGGTGGGTGAGGTACCTACGGCTTCCTCCAGGCAGCGGATCTTGATGATCTCCTTGATCTCCTCCTCCTTGTACCGCTGGGGAAGGGAGTGGTAGGAGGGAAGAGGGGAGGGGAGAGGAAGCGAGCGGGGGTGGAGGGGCGAGATCCCGGGGGGATGGGTGGGAGCGGGGGGGAACGTGATGAGGTGTTGTTTCACCGACACTCTTTGTCTCGCCACACATTCATTTCACAGCTTCACACGCCTCAATGCTCACCCTCCCTTTCCCTTTTCTCTCACCTCCTCTTCTCTCACCTCGGTGCTTATAATAAGAAGCCGGTCGAGGAAGTCGAGCGGAATGCCATGTGGCGCCTTGTAGTTGGTTCCTCGGATCGTGGTGATGCCTCGGTTGGTGGCCACCACCAGAATGGGCGCCATCTCGTTCTCTAGGGCGCGGTTTAGGAATGAAAAGCATTCTATGTCGAGCATGTGTACCTGAGGTGTAGGGAGAGAAGCGGGGGGGGGGGTGTTTGGGGGGGAGAGGGGGGGGGTTGAAGGGCGCGTTTTGAGGAATGAAAAGCATTCAATGTCGAGCATGTGTACCTGGACAAAAGGGAGAGAGGGATGAGCGGAAGGGGGCGAGGGGGAGGAGGGGGGAGGAAGAGAGGGTGGTGATGCCTCGGTTGGGCGCCATCTCGTTCTCTAGGGCGCGGTTGAGGAATGAGAAGCATTCAATGTCGAGCATGTGTACCTGAGGTGTAGGGAGAGAAGCGAGGGGGCAAGGGAGGGGGGAGGGGTTGAAGGGCGCGATTGAGGAATGAAAAGCACTCGTCGTCAAGCACGTGCACCTGGGGCGAGGTGGTGGATTGGTGAGGGCAAGAGAGGGAGTGGGCAACCACCCGCGGGAGCAAAATTTCATTCTCTAGTGCACAGTTGAGGAAAGAGAAGCACCCGATGCCAAGCATGCGTACCTGGGGCAAAGGGGAGAGGAGGAGAGAGAGATGGGGAGAGGGAAGTGGGCGGGAGGGAACTGCTTTTCAACCACGCCATTCTCACCTCATCAATGAAAAGAACCCCGGGAACGATCTCCGCTTTGCCCTCCTCCCGCCACTCCTGCACCTTTCCTCGATCTGCTCCCGCACCCCATACTCACCCACGCGCACAGCACCGGACCGAATCCATTCGCACCTCATCAATGAAAAGCACGCCGGGAACGATCTCCGCTTTGCCCTCCTCTCTCCACTCCTGCACCTTCCCGTCGATCTGCTCCCGCACCTCCGCCCTTATCTCTCCCGTATCCCCAGTGAACAGCGCCAAAAACCCCTGCGTGCGGCTATTAATAACATCCACCTCATGCAGTGACACCACGTGCACCACCTCCTTCCTCCTCTGCAGCTCCCCATCGGGGCACTGCACAAACCGCGTAGCCGGACCCGTGGCGTCGTACTCTCTTGATCGGGTGAAGCTACGCCCGAGCTTGGTGACCCGCCCCGTGGCTTTGTCTATGGCGATCACGTCGCCGCTTTGGACCTTCTCACGGACGAGAGAGTCAATCATTTTCACCCCGAGCTCGTACACGGTCTCCATGTCGGTCGTTTTCAGGGTCAGCTTGCCGGTTTTGGCGGCGGCGCCGGCAGTGGCGGGACGGTCGATTTGAATCTCCACCACCTCCCCTTCGATGATTTCGGTTTCTTCTTTAATCCGGACTCCAATCGCCTTCCGGAACGCCTGCGAAGGAATAAAGAAGCAAGCAGGGGGGAGGGGGGAGGGGGAGGGGGGAGACAGATTGTCAGTGAGCCTTCGAGCACACGAGCCCCACCTGAAGGCCGACTACCGTGGCCGTTTTGAGGGTCAGCATGCCGGTTTTGGCAGCCAAGCCGGCCGTGGTGGTCGGCCTTCAGGTGGGGCGGACGATCTGGATCCCCACCACCTCCCCTTTGATAAATTCGGTTTCTGCCTTGATTCTCACTCCGATCGCCTTGCGAAACGCCTGGAAAAAGGGAGGAGGCAAGCAGTGCGGAGTGAGGGAGAGACAGACTGCCAGTGAGCCGGTTTCGATGTCGGTCGATTTGAGGGTCAGCTTCCCGGTATTGGCGGCTGCACCGGCAGTGCCTGAGCGGTCGGATTGGATCTCCGCGGCCTACCCTTCGATTATCTCCGTTTCCCCTTTGATCCAGACGCTGATGGCCACCTTTTGAATAGACTCAAAAGCCACCTCTTTGATCCGGACGCTGATGGCCTTGCGAAACGCCTGCAAAGTCAGCGGCAAGCAGAGAAGGGAAGAGGCAAGCGGTAGTGGGAGGGAGAGGATGAGGTGGTGGGCAGGGCGGTTGATTTGGATGCCCTCCACCCACCCACCTTGGAATCTTGGATGATCTCCTCTTTCTTTCTCGATACTCACACAAATACCGCTGCGAAAGGCGTGCAAGGAACGAGGCATGCAGACAGGCAGAAAGGGGAAGGCAGCGAGAAGAGAACGAGGTGGAGGAAACATGGTGAGGGAGGGAGAAGGGGGGAGGAGGGGGGGTAGGGTGGAGGAGGGGGAGGGAATAGAAAGGTTTTAAGATAAAGAGAATACCACGACAGGGGCAAGGATGGGAGAACAAGGGTGGAGCCCCAGGGGTTTAATGGGAAGGAACTTCTGAGGTAAAAGGGAGGGACGAGGGTTCGGGAGGATGCGCAGGGGTTTGGGGGAGGGAGGATGGGTAGGGGTGTGGGGGAGGGAGGATGGGTAGGGGTGTGGGGGAGGGAGGACGGGAAGGGTTTGGGGGAGGGAGGATGGGCAGGGGTTTTGGAAAGGGAGGAAGGCGAGGGTTTTTGAGGAGGGAGGACGGGGAGGGGTTTACAGGAGGGGCGGTGGGGGTTTGAGCGGAAGATGCAGTTTAGGGGGGACGCGCATTAGGCCGCACAGGGGGATGCGGAGAGCCGCGGACAAACATCGTTTAGGGTTGTGGGTTGTGT